GCAAGATGCCTTGATTTGTCTGAAAAGATCCAATCATTCCAAATAAATCTTCAGCTTTGGGGAAAAAAAAGGAAATTAAAATTTACATGTTGCCTCTCATATCTGCTGTCATTGAAGAACATGGCATTGACCAGGATTGACCAGGATTATTATGATACTTTCTTCTTTCCCTGAAGAGAGATCTCTGCCAGAACTTGATCCATGTTAGAAAGGGCAACTCAGGGAGAATTAGATGCAGCAGGATTAGAGAAAATTCCTAGTTATTCTTTTCTGCTTTGTAAAGAAATAAAAACAGTACATTGATAAAAAGTTATATAATTTAAAGTAAAAATAAAAGCAAACAGTAAAAAGCAGAACTAACACTGGAAATAGAAAAATAATTAGAACCTAAAGATGTATTATCCAGTATCTCTCTCTGTGATGAAGTTGACTGTCTTTCTCCTCTTTGTGCTGATTTTGCACTCCACACCCTGACCCAAATTCCTACATTTCTAACCCCTGTTCTTCAAGTGCAGGTCCTAATAACATAGAGACAAGATTCTGGAAGGAAGAGAAGAACTTTCTAAAATTAGACAGGTGAAGTGGAAGTTTCTGGGTTTTTTTGTTTTGTTTTGTTTTTTTTAACTCAAGTTGTGTTATGTGAACATGTTTGTTTGTTTGTTTGTTTGTTTTGGTTCCAAGTGTAGGATGTGGGAATGTTTTCCCCCAGAGGAAAACCACCCCTGTGAAAAGGTGGATCATGTTTGTCAGCTAGAAATTACCTTGTTCAATGGGTGTGGTTTTCCCCAGCTGGAAAACATCCTTGTGTGAACTCTGAGAGGGGATAAATAGAAGCCCACAGACAGTGAGACAGCACTTTTTGCATCTCTTTGATACAGTTCAAATTGCTTAGCTCATTTTCACAGAAAGAAATGCCCCAGAGAACTTTTCATGCTGCTTTTGTGGAGTTTTTCCACTTCTGCCTACTTGTCCTCTTTGGGAAGAGTCTTATTGCTTTTGCTGAGTGGTACCCTCTGTTGCTCTTGCTTGCTGCTGTTGCTGTGTTTTGTTGATTTGCTCTTTGACTGGACTGCTGGTATTCTGAATACTAAGAGCGGTACAGCCCCAAAGAACTCAATGACCCGAATCATCAGTAAGTAGCTAAGAGAGGTCTATAGCCCCTTTCCCTACCAATCTCCTACCTAAGATCAGGGTGTGGAAGGGAGGTAGAGACATTTAAGCACATCAAATAAAGTAGGTGTTTGAAAAATTTAAGTCTGCAGACAGGGGCCTGATGGACCATATCAGCATCAGGTCTTTTGCAGGCAGTCAGTCACCTGTGGTTCATGGAGAAGCAGTAATTGCCTATTGTCAAACAGCTGGCATATGAGAATGCTAATGTTGTATACCAAAGAGTCATCCATCCCTTTCAAAAGAAATGAGCTATTAATGATTATATCTGCCCCTTCTGTCCTAATAGAGGGCCTTCATTTATTGAGGGATATCCTCTGGATGTGGCCCTCTAAGGGCAAGGAGCGCCTCAGCTATGTAAAAAAGTTGGTGCTAGCGTGTTAGGGAAGGCTAGAGACCAGTTTCCTCTTGCTTTTATTGTATATTATATGGATTATATTCTGCTTTCTGCTGAAGATAAGAGAATGCTGGAATATCTCTTTGCTGAAATAAAAATTAGATTGACCCACTCTGGATTTATTACAGCCCCTGAGAAAATTCAACATATCATTCCAATCTGATATTTAGAAAACTTGATTAAGTCCTTTACAATCATTTCTCAAGCGGTGGAAATTAGGAAGAACACTTTAAAAACTCTAAATGATTTTTCAAAAACTGCTAAGGGGCATAAATTAGATTAGACTAATGTTAAAAATTTCTATACCCCAATTGCAACCTTTAGTTGATGTGTTCCAGGTGTATCGTGATCTTTCACCTCCTAGAGAATGGACTGAGCCTGCAGGCATTGTACTCCAGCAGGTGGAATATCCACTTAGAAACATTCAGCTTTTGTGGATCTCAAGTCTCTGTGCTGTTCCTACATTGTTAATTATCCATTCTTCCAACATCTCCAAAAGATTGCACTCTAATCCTAGGGCAAGGAGAATGAATATATCTCTCAGTCAGTCCAAAAAGGGGTTATCACTCCATATTGGCTTATGGTTGCTGAATCAGTAATTCTAAGAAGTTATCACACAAAGCAATTATTCAAATAAGAGCCAGTAAAAATTTGTATTCTGTATGATAAAAAACAGTGGGAATTTTTGTTGACAACTTCTGATAACTTAACACAGTTTTTTTTTCTTATGCATCCCTTTCAAATTAAGAATAAATTTGCATCCAAAAAACATCGATTTTGTGTCAAAACATGCCATTTTATTTCCTGAAAGCACAGCAGGCTTCAGCCAATACCCTCTCCACACATAGTATTTATAGATATGACAGAAGATGGTAGGGTGCCCTGTTTTCAAGAGATGCTCCGCGGACATTTACTTACCCAAGTGCTTCTGTACAACAGATGGGATTATACATGATTTAGTTGCTTTATAACATTACCCTCAACCTCGAAACTGATATTCTGACTCACAGTGCACAGTCTTTGAAGTGCACCCTCCAGATACTGTTGGGGTCATTTCATCAGGCATCTCCATTCATTATTTATTTCCATTAATTTAACAAAAATTACAGAGACTGGAAAAATCCAGTTTATTTTATTTATATTATGTCACATTCCAACCTTCACCTGGGGGAAATGCAAAAGCAGATTCCTTTTTAACATTGTCTCTTTTCCTACAAATTAACAGCATAAAAGAGAACTGAAAATCTAACACATACTTTCTTCAAAACGCTTTACATTGAAACACACTAACGAGCAGGCTTCTTTGATAGTTAAAGAATGCCATTCACCCATAAAATTAATATCATGCACTTTTTACTAACTAACGAGCAGGCTTCTTTGATAGTTAAAGAATGCCATTCACCCATAAAATTAATATCATGCCTTTTTCTTCTTATGCTGTACCTCCCCGGAGATTATTTCTAAATCATATTCGGGATATGGATGATATTCATGTCCCCAGTTTGGGACCTTTAAATATAATCATGTCATTGTGGACACCTATTCATTACTCATTTTCACTATTTCCCTATCAGTAGAAACAGGAAAGATGTTCTCACCTTTTTACTCAGAGCTTTTGCTATTTTAGGGGCTTGTAGAATATTAAAATACTAAAAATATGCTTCTTACCAAGTCTTTTCAGGAACTTTGCCAACAATATGTTGTAACCTACATCACAGGCATTCCCTATAACCCTCAGGGTCAATCTTTTGTGGAAAGATTTAATGGGCAACCTAAATGGTATTTAAAAATAAAGCAGGGAGAGAAAGACAATATGGCTGCTCCTCATAATATTTTATCTTCTATTTTATATACTTTAATTTTTTTTAAATTTGGGTAAGAATGGCCTTACTGCCTTGGGATATTTTTGGGCCCCTCCAAAATAATTCAAGGTCATGGTTCTTTGGAGGGATGTTATGCCTGGCCAGGATCTAGTAATTCACTGGAGCCAAGGTTGTGTTTGTGTTTTATCCTCAAGGTGCTGATAAATTGTTGTGGATACCTGAAAAACTGACCCAAGCTGGGGAAGATGGACAAGGAGGTTTCAAAATGTCTTGGAGGCTTCACCTGAAGAAAAGGAAGAGAATGGTGAGACAGAATCATAAAGCCAAGAATAGAGTCTGCCTACAGGGAATGATTCAGATGAAGAAACTAGTGATTGAGGTTAAAAAAAAAAGTTGGGAAAATCTCAAGGGAAAGGAGTGACTGAAGAACTGCTGTTTCTTACTAGGTTTTCTCTGGTGAATGCATCTGTTAACTGAGAAGAGAATAACATTCTTCCTATGTTAATAATTCTCAGATCTTGGATGTCCTCACTGCTGAACATATTATTCCAAGGGCAAAGATGGTCAAATGAGAATTTGAATATTGATGTTCAGGTCTTGCATGATAAAATATAAATATAAAAATATAAATAAACTTTTATAAATATAGATAAAATTATACATATGCATTCAAAGTAAGATGAATTACCCTTCTCTAATTCTGTGAAAAACCTAGCAAAGCTTTTTGCTCATTACTTTGTCTCTAATTGGACTTCTAAACTGTGGTCCATAGGACTGTTTCTGGGAATTTTGTTATTGGTTATACTGGGAAGCATTATAGCCTTCTATTGATTTGCTGCTCCACCTCTACTTTGAAGAATGACTTCCATGCCCTGAAATTAAAAAGCAAAATAGGGAGAGCTGCAGAAAGTCATGGAGTTGGCCTCATCTAGCTACCATGAGAGGCATGTGCCCTAGGTTTCTCAGCTTAGAGTCCACAGGTCCTGAGAAATTGAGGCACTCCTTTAGACAGTGGAACACTCTGGCTGATTGTCTATCTCTGCACTCCCTAAAAGTCAGTGAATCGCATAGAAGTTTGTCAGAACAATTAGTTTTAGACATTAGTCTTGGGTATCCTGTATAGCTTACAAATGTCATTGTATCCTGACAATTATAACTATATTCTTCCTGGTAATCATCATTATTCCATTTCTGATAAGGGTAGAAAAAGTCTGATTGTTTTCAATGACTTGTTTCAGCTTCATTCTTGCTGAAACCCCTTCAACCCAGCCTGGTTTTTATTCCCATCTACCATACAAGGAGACCCTGGTTCAGTAAGCGCTGACACTTATAAACAACATTTGTGAAACATAAGTAAAAGTATCACTAAGACAAAATATTGTGTATATGGTAAAAAAATATTAATGCTATTCTCTGTATATAGACATGACAGGATCACCAGAACACATTCTCTCAAGATTTATTTATTAATATGCAAGCATGAAATGTGTATAGAACTACTGGCTGATTTTGTGATGAATGGTTTTCCATCTCACTGTATGGTTTTATTTGTTTGTTTGTTTGTTTGTTTGTTTGTAGGATAGTGTGTTTTCATTAAATGAGAGAAGAATTTAGGGGGAGCAGAATCTTCCATAAAAGAGGATGATACTGGTTTTGTTGTGCCTGATGAAAAACAGGAACGGGTGATCTGCACTGAATTCAATGGAAGGTACCTTAATTCGACGGGTGACTTCACTTCCAGTGCCAGTGGTAGCCTCTGTGCCTTCTTCATTTATTTCCAAGAAAGTCTTGTGGAAAACATTAGACAAAAATAGGTTTCTCCCAGAAGACATGTTTGAGAAATCAGCTTTGCTCTGGCTGAAAGCATCAGTCATCCCCATACTGTGCAGGGCTGACTTGAGGTCATAACTCTCCTGCATCTTGAACTTGGGGAGGTACAGCTGTACTTCGTATGTGTCCATCATGTTTGCACTTGTCCACTCCTTCAGTTTCTCATAAGTGATGGCTTTTTCCAGCTGCGGGATTGTAACCCAGAAAGAGTCAGTAAATCAGGAAGAAAAGAGACCATACATAAGATTCCTATCACTCCCTCTACCTTCCACATATTTGGAAAGTGATAAGAACTTTCTGCAGTTGACCCACAAAGTCTCTGTTTTACAGATAATAGTTCTCAGGAAATAAAGGGATTATGAAAGAGAAATGCTTCTACCACAGTATGCAGAATGTCCGCTATACAAAATATCCCAAAATAACCAAGCATTTTTTTAACACAAAGCATATAGTATAAGGTGTATGTTAGGACATATATAAGTCTTTACTGTCAACTTGATTAGATTAGAAACCACTAACAGGTTAGTTAAGCATATCTCTGATTGTGTCAGTGAGAGCATTCTATAGAGAATCAGATCGTGAGGGCTCTAACATAATAAACATATTGATGCATCAATAAATTCTGAGTCTGAATAGACTGTTTAGAGGTAGCAGAACTGTGGAGGGTGGTGCCTGGCTGGACCACGGAAGTGCGTCCTTGATGGCTCTGTCTTGCTCTGGCCCCTTCTGTTTACTGCTGCCTGCCCACCATGAAGTGAGCTACTCTGCCACAACCTCATTTTCAGGATGGACTGAAATCAGGACCAAAATCAATCTTTCCTCCCATGAGAGATTTCCGTTAGGAGTAAATCACAGTGACAATAAACTGTCTAACATAGAGCACACACTGCTCGTTTTCCTAACATTGGAAACAAAATCTCAGATAAAATAAAACGCCTACACTTTATAACCACAATATTGTAAACTATGTCAAGAAACGATGAAAAGGGGGAAGGGAGAGAAACACCAAATCTTATGGGTACATTTTTATATTGGGCATAGGACTCTTTGACTCCTCTTTATAATTTGAAAGTTCTGAGAATAACGTCTGAGTGTGTGCATATGTCTATTTGTATATGTATATAGATTTAACTTTTTATTAATTAATATGTTTGTTTTAAAGCATACACTTTTGCTCATTTGACAGTTTTATAAACTCAAACATTGGTTAAAAGTGGCATATGTGTCGATTATATATTTATAATATGAAAATATCTTTGTCTAGGGACCCTGAATTCCTAAGAAGTTGCCTGTTATGACTGTAATGGTTATCAATCTACAGAGGCCTAATTATTACCATCCTTCACAGTTTTACAAATTTTCAAGAGCAAAATAAAACTCTTTTCTGTATAATATCAGAGTCGTGGAAACCTACCAAAATTAAGAGCCTAGTACACATAAAAAAATTAGAGAACAGGCAAAGAAAGACAGGATATATGTTGCAAAAGATGTTAATGTTTCATTTAGCTGTCTGTTTGCTCAAACGCATGGTCTGGTCAAGGTTGATAAGATGGACAGTCTCAATGGAGATGGCACTGGGAGAGTTTTGTTTGTTTGTTTGTTTGTTTGTTTTGTTGTTGTTGTTGTTTCCTCCTGAAGATTGTTCATTTGATTAAAAAAAGGTTTTAGAAAAAGTTGTGAAACACACCAAGCATATAAATACATGTACTCATATATAAATACAAATGAGTAAAAAGATCAGTGTGAAGTCTGAGGAGGTGTCCAAGTTGTTACGAGTACTAGCTGCTCTTCCAGAGGGTCCAGATCCTTATTCCAGAACCTCCATGGTGGCTTACTGCTGTCTATCTGTCTCCAGTTCCAAGACATTCAATGTGCTCTTCTGGTCACCACAGGAAACACACACACACACACATAGTATGTAGGCATACATGTGGGCAAGACACCCATACACACACCATAATTTTTTTAAAGTTAAAGAAATTGACTTGGGGCTGGAATACAGTTTTATTCTAGAAAGCTTACTCAGCACACAAGAGCCCTGTGCTTGATCTAAGGCACCATAAAAGAATCCAGTCCTCACTAGGAGTTTTTGTGTGCACTAATCTGAAGAGGGTCAGCGAGTACTCCATAAATAGATGTTGTCCTGCCTTCTAGCACAAACAAGGATACTTGAACATGAAAGCCCTTTGTGCACTTAGTATGGCTTCCAGGTTCCCAAGTCACTTCTTCCGTAGGTAAACGCCTGTTTTCCACAGCAGTTGCCATCCGGGGTACTCTTGGATCACAACTCCATTCTCCAGGTACTGTTTCCAGAGGTTTCTACTGCATCACTGCCAGAGCTAGAGTCCTTCAGCTAGCTACCAGCCACTCAGTCCTGCTTAGCAATCAAATATCAGGATTCCACAGTTATATTAAACTGCACATACTCTAGCCTACTAGCAACCAGCTGCTAACCTGCCAAATGTTACATTGTCAGGAGATTGTCATCAATACAAAATAAAATGAGATAAAATTTTAAAATGATATGATTATATTTATTTGATGTAAATTAATTGTACTCTATTTTTATGCCTCATTCTTTCAAAAACAGAACTATAAAGAATTTTGCAATTCTCAATAAAAGTTAATCTTGAATTAGGTAGTTTCTGCAAGCTTGAGAAGACACAAGACAACTCAGTGTGTGATCACATTTGTGATAAGGGCCTCCATGTCTGTGTATATGTGGCTATATATGTGTCTCCCTTGTGCTAGAGATGCCCATAGGTACTCAACCTTTCTAAAATATAGTGATATTAATTTTATAGAATTTTGTAAAGTATGAGCAATGTTTGAAGACAAAGTATCCAGGGCTCAAAGCATGTTAGTTAATTGCCTTCCTGTGCAGAAATGTAAAATCATAGAAGAGAAGTCCTCACATTTTTCTCTTTAAAGCATTAAGGCAAACACACAGTCTATTAGACAGATTGATGTATCTACCTGTTCTAGACCATTGATGTCTTCTGGCAGCAGCAGAAGCAAGCTGAGGTCATGGTTCTGATAGTAGAGTTGAAGGCCAATGGTTTGCAGCTCCTCAATGTGGAAGACTTGAAGATCCTTTTTCATTGACATCATTTGTACTGGTTTGCTTGTGGTCTGTGAAAATGTACAATAAAGTCACAGACAAGGTTTCACAAGATTCTTCATCCTGTCACTATCAGTTTCCATTCATCTTGGACTGTAGTAAAACTGGTGATATTCCAGTTTTATTAAGTTTACTGAAGTTTCCCCGATGTAGGCTTTAGAAAATTCTAACAATATTGATTATAGAAAATAAGAGAGCTCTTATCTGTAGCATCTAATAGACAACCTGTTTATGCCACAATAGGTGGATCTTACCAAGCACTTAAAGGTAGAAATGCATGAAAACACATAGTGTCAATAACCCAGAAACTATGGGTTGTGTTACATGAAAATACTTAAGAACCCTAGAAAGTATATTTAGTATCTAAAAACAAGTGCATAAAAATGAAAAGCAAGCAATAGGTTAGGAAAAATATTTGTGAAATATTGTCAGATAAAGAACTTCTAATACAATATTTACAAGTATCTACAGAGACCAGAAGAGGATATCAGATCCCCTGGAGCTGGAGTTAAAGACAGTTATGAGTTTCTGGTCATATGGATGCTATGGATAAAAACTTGGTTCTGTGGAAGTGCAGGAAGGGCTCCTAATTGCTGAGCCATCTCTCCAGATTTGTGTGAAGTATTTTTTAACACAATCAAGTGCAAATTAAGCCATAACAAAACTTTCAGCAATCCAATGTTATAGACATATTATTTGCCCATTGTATGTGGAGCTGACGTCAATCAGAAGTCCTCAGCCATAAGCTGATCAAGCCTCACAGCCAGGCCACTGGTTGAGATACAGTGATGGTTTCCAGAGTGCACACATAGTGGCACCAACTAGAGTCCTCTTCAGATCTCACTGTCAAAACCACAACCAAGACATTCTATGCCAGCTAGGTTTGAGGTGCTAAAAGCTTCTCTCTCTAGGAATTTAAAATGGGGTTAATCAACTTATTCTCCGGACTAGAAGAGGTACTGTGGCTTAGAAACAGAAAGAACCAGAATTCAGCCAGAGTGAAAAATGACTAAAGAAATTCAGCAGGGGAGAAAAGTGAGAAAAAGAATTGCTTTAGCCACATTCTAGTTTTGGCCTTAAATATATCCTAAAGGCCTTGTGTGGAAGTCTTGGTTGGCAACTGGTGATGCTGGGAGCTGTAAGAGTTGGAGCTCATTAAGGAAGTTAGATCACTGGAGGATTGGGACTTCTCCCTCGCCTTCTCCCCCTCGCCCTTTCCCTTTCCATCTCTCCCTGTCTTTCTCATCCTCACTGTAAAGTGAGTAACTTTGCTTCGTGCTTGTCTTTCTACATTAATGTTCGACTGGGACAGATGACCATGTACTGCAGCTCCAAAATCCTTGTGATGGCAAGCTGATAAGCCTTAGGAATAGGTCAGATCTAGCTAACTCCACTCCCTCCTACACGTACACTTTGCTAAAGTGTGATTAGTAGAATCAATAGAACTTATAGTAGGATAATCTTTGGTTCTGGGAGTTTGACTCAAACATCCCTCCACTCAGCTGCCTGTATTTCTCAAGTGGAAAATAAATATAAAACCTACCCTACCCAACATCCACATGCTTGGTAACACAAAATCATGAATTATGCAGATAATCTGTATTCAGAGAAAAACAAGGAAATCAGAAGTTTTAGCTAGATGGGAGCTAGGAGCTCCCTACCCAGCCTTCCCTGATTAAAGCCAGGGTACAGGAAGATGTTAAAAAACAACATAGATCTACTATAAAAAATTTTAAAAATAGATTTAATATAGAATATGTTTTTGCAAGATAATGTGGAGATTCAAAGTGCCTTTTAGCCAACTCTTACCTTGTTTATTCTGAAAGGCCTTTCAGTGGTGTTTTGCACTGAGAACTGGTGCTCCCAGGTTCCTTTAAAGTAAAGGGCATTCACCAGAACCATCTTAGTCATGTGGTCTACAGAATCATCTGGGAGGAGATTTGAAATTTTACCTATAAGAAAAGGACAGGTTACCATTTTCCTGGAACACACTTTTTTGTTTAAAATTCTATTTTCAGATATTCCAGAAATAGGTCAATTTATAGTTAAGTAGTATACTTTTTCTCAATAGCTATGAGGAAGAACAGAAAAAAAGAATCCTCTCACTTCTCCAGTAAGCATCATTTTACAGCCACAGTAAACAAGTCCAAAGAAGTGTTCACAGACTTTGAGAACTACTTTCATGTAGCTTTTTGTTCAAAATGCTTATTCATGAATCAAAGGAGGGAAATGGAATGTGTTGGTTACATAGTAGGAAAACACAGTTATTATTTAAAGATAATATGGGTAACGAGAAAAATAAAATAAAAAATTCTCATGAATGTTGAATTACACTACTTCATTCACAAAGTGTTTTTCTCCTAGCAATAGATAATAGGAATGGCATAGTTGCATTTTGGTGCTATGGTACATTTATGAAATTGTTGATGATAAATATTGGTTTAGCTATTTAGTTTATTTATTTGCTTGTATGTTGAACAAAAAGTCCTTCAATGTAGCCCAAGGCTAGTGTAGAGAATTCAACATATAGCCTAAACAAGCCTAGGACTTATAATCTTCCTGACTCATTCTCCAGTGGGAGGAGTTTACAAGCATGTTCCACCAAGCCCAGGTCACTAAATATTATTAAACTGTCTAAACTGGTGTCTGCCAAGGAATCAAAACAAAGTTAGCTTCAATAAAATGCTCTTAAAAAGCTGGATTCAACATCATGAGTAGTTCCAATAAAATCATATACAAGACAGACACACACACAAACTAGGATCTCAAGCAGCACTTAGTTGTAATTTCACTGTGGCTTCTTTTATTCTGAACAGCCCCTTCATCATTCATAGCTTTTTGATGACCTGGATACATTTACAGGGAAAAAAAGCCCTTTGTTGTGCAGAATGTCCTCTAATTCTCAATTTGAGTTTATTTCATTTTTCCTCAAGGTAATATTAAGGATATCCAGGCTAAAATCTATAGACTCAAAGATGCCAACTAACAAGGAGGGCCCAAAGGAGGATTCTTGAATTTCACTCAGATTCTATGTGGCTCAAGGCTAGTGTGGAAGAGGAAATAAATAGATATTTCAAATAGATGGAGGGAGGGAACTGGATCAGGGAGGGATAGAGAGAGGAATAAGGTTGGGGATCAAAAGTGGAGAAGAGGAAAGGCTGGGAGAGAGAATGAAAATCAGTGGGACATCTCTGGAACTGGGCTGGGGTGGGGGAGCACAGGCTTCCAGGAGTCTATAAGGGTGACCCTAGCTGAGAATTCTAACAGCAGGGGATATGGAGCCTGAATAAGCCACCTCCTGTAGCCAGGCAAGACTTCCAGTGAAGGCAGGGAGATGCCAAGCCACCAACAAATTTGATCTGCCTACAAGTACTACAAGGATAAAAATGGAGCAGAGACTGAGGGGATGGCCAATGATTGACCCAACTTGAGACCAACACGATGGGAAGGAGCTAACCCCTGACACTATTAATAATACTCTGCTAGGCTTGAAGACAGGAGCCTGGCATAACTGTCTTCTGAGAGGCTTCACCCAGCAGCTGATAGAAACAGAAGCAGAGACCCACAGCCAAACAGTAAGCTGAGCTTGGAGAGTATTGTGGAAGTGTGGGGGACATATTGAGGGAAACAGAGGAGTCAAGAACATGCAAGAAGACCTGCAGAGTAAAATAAACTAATGGGACCTCACAGAGATTGAACCATCAACCAAAGAGCTTGCATGGGCTGGACATAGACCTCCTATACTTCTGTAGTAGATGTGCAGTTTGTTCTTCATGTGGGTCCCCTAACAATTGGAGCAGGGGCTCTCTCTGACTCTGATGCCTGCCTTTGTATTATTTTTCCCTAGCTGGGTTGCCTTGCCTGGCTTCAGTGGTAGAGAATGTGCTTAGTCCTTCTGCAGCTTGATGTGCCAGGGTGGGTTAGTACCCATGGGGGCCTTCCCTTCTCTGGATAAGGAGATGGAGAGGTGGGAGAGGTGGTATGAGGGTGGAACTTGGAGAAGAAGAGAGGAGGTACTGTGATCAGGCTGTGAAAATAATAATAATTAATAATAAAGAATACCCATTTTGTGAAGAAATCATTGTATATCTAATTTTCCATCCCTTCAAAATGTTGATGTTCTAACCCCCAGGATATTATGTGAGTTTATTTCAAAAGAGAATTTTTGCAGATTTATTCAAGTTAAGATCACGTTATACTGAGTTAAAGTAAGCTACAGGGCAGGTGACTCCTGCCTTCAATGGAAAAAGGAAATTTAGACAGACATTTAAAAAACACTATATAAGCACACAGGAACACAAGGAGACCCAAAGAAGTCTAGTGGCAGCAGAAACAAAGACTGGAATGATGTGTCCTCACTCCAAGGAATGCTCTGGATTACCAGTGACTGCCTCCAGCCAGGGCACACACAAGTTCCCTCCTTAGTGGACACTGCCCTGGAGACAGGTGGATTTTGACTCTTGGCTTCCAGACCTGTAGCATAATACTGTTCTTTAACCCCAAAACTTCAACAAGTAATTTTAATTTTAAGATACTTATTATGTACCAGTAAAACAGTGCTCTATTTTTTGTTATTATTTAATGACTATTTAAAAATAAATGCAACAGTCATTCCTATTTCCTATCTTATATTTTTTCCCTTTTATCCTGGACTCCTCTTTGGAATCAGTAAGCTATACTTACTTTCCTGCTTATGTGGGAAAGGGGAGGTTTGACTTCTATACTTCACATAGGACTTACTGGGAAGGCTTCCAGTATGAAACTTAAGGGTATAAATAGAAGTTCTGAATATTTAGTTTGTGTCCCACAGTTCCACTAAAGAAGTAGTGAGGCATACATGGCACAGTCCCAAACAACTAAGATGAAGCTTGGAGCAGGGCCTGGGCAGCAGCTTACCACCAGTCTGGCTTCCCACCCAAGAGTTGATCTCTGTCCTGGTCTGGCCAGAAGCTTCCGCAAAGTTAACAGACTGAGGTTCTGCACCAAAGTACATTTTCATGTCCTCCAAATAGTTCTGAAAGATAAAGGTAAAACTGAACACTGAGAAACCAATTCTGTATACATAATTTAAAACAAAAATCAATTGTGAAGAGCAAGTACAGGCTCCCATTCCACCCCATCCATCTCAAGTTCTTCATCCCTAGTAACGGCCAAAATGTAGATGTAATCACCTTCAAATGAACTAGCCATACAGAACTCCAGGTATGGAAGGAACATCTGCCTGCCCATGGTTCTGGGGAGCTGGCACCCCTTTCTTGATTATTTATAAATTTTATTTCTTTGATTTTTTTTATAGTATGACTACATTATTTACTCCTTTACTTTCCTCTCTCGAAGCCTTCCTATATATCCTTCCTTGATCTATTTCAAATCCATGACCTCTATTTTCATTTCTTGTTGTTACATTCACATAGGTATATGTATATATACATATGTATTTCTAAATATGTAAACACATGTTCAGTCTATATAATGTTACTCTCATGTATTTTTGTTTTGTTTTGTTTCGTCTTGTTCAGGTTTATAACTATGAGCAGAATGAAAACAGAAGACTATAAATCATAGGAGTTACCCAGGGGCCAAACGGTATTGAGAGCGGGGCTTGGCTTTCTCTGGGAGGCATGGAAACACAGTGAGGCCTGTGGGTCTGCAAGTTGACTGCTGTAGTTTTCCCAGAAACTGAGAGCAACCTGAAGACAACTATAGTCTGCCAGGCAATGTGACCTGGAAGTGAGGTCAAAGGCCTCATCAGAGTTTTGAGGGAGTGAGCAAGGTCTCCACCTCTGGAGTTTTGATGTTCCATCCACAATACTCATCACAGCTGGCTGTCACTGAAGTTCAGCCACTGCAGCATCTACCATGGAAACATAATTTGCTTTCCCTGAGCGCTGCAGGAAAAAAGAAGTTGCTTCCTTAAAATTGTTTATTTCTTAAATGACTTATAAGAAGTAAAGAGGGAGGAAGGAGGGAATTACAGGGGGGATACAAAGTAAATAAAGTGTAATTAATAAAAAATATTTTAAAAAATAGGTAAAGAATGGTTAATTAATCCTGTTCCAAAGATATAGTTTAAAGGTTGTGGTATCTACATTGGAATTTATAATCCAGCAAAAAGAAAACACTACTTAATTCCCCTATGGTCATAAAAATATGTCTTTTTGTTTTCAGCCCAGTGCTACTGAGCTCAAATCTTTCTTGGTTATAAGTCAAGTATGAGTCCAAAAGCTCTCCAGTCTTGAGAATATCTTTAAGGCTATACTCAGATGGTTTTGTGCATTCAGGACTAACAGAGCCCAAGCCTCTAACTTTGCAAGAACTCATCCATGTAGGCAGCCATTGCAGGCTTGAAACCAAAGGATATCTTTTTCTCATCTGTCCTATCTCACTCCCTTGCTCTTTGACCCTTACAAGCTTGAAGTCTACTATTCTTTTTGATCTTTTTGAAAGGATGTGATGCACAAGCTTAAAGAAGAAAAATGACTGACTGCTCTAGGAGGAGCTCTTGAGCCTTAATAAGACAAGGTCACTGATGTTTCCATTGGTAGGATTTCAGCCATTAGCAAAGGAAGGAACTTGGCGTCATTTCGTGTTCCATATTGACAAAAGTCTCTAAAATCTTGATGGGAGAACTTTCTTTTACTCTCATCTCAAGATCAAATATGTTCCCAGGGACAGCCTCTACCCACAGTCCTGTGATGGACACCATTTTTGGCTCTTTCTGACCTACCCTACTATTATATAACTGTGTTTTCTTGTTAAGCAAATGTTAGCTCTAGGAGTCCATGTTTATGTGCTCATGTGTCATTCTGATGTCAGACCCATTACTTGTTTTCTACAGAATTTGGCATTCACAGACAATTACAAAATGATTGCTTACCAGGAAATGTTGCCCATATTAAGATTTTTCCCTGGGGACCCCAGAGAAATGTGTATTTTATGGCTTATTCTTGTCTGCCTCTTTTTTCCATTAACCAAGAAAAGACATTTATACTCACATTATGAAATGGATACGTTTTCTCCCCATATATCCTATTAGCTGTTTTGAGTGTGTAGGAATTACCAGGCTTGAGGATTTCTGCAGCAAGGGTCTGGAAATCAGAGCGTATTTCTTCAACACTGTATGAGTTAAATTCCTTTAAAAGAATGGAGAGTACAGAAAAATGTTGTATAAGCCAAGTAACATGTGCCCAACTTACAGTTAAATGAAATTATTTGGTCTATTGCAGGCAAAAGGTGAAAGTAATTTATTTAAAAAGATTTTCTTCAACGTGATTAACATAACATGGGAATGAGGGAGGTGGCTATAGCTGGAATATAAAGTGAATAAACTGTAATTAACATAAGAATATAAAAAATTATAAAAAATATTTTAATGAATACACCTTTCATTCATAGCTTACAAGGACAGACAAGAACAACTTTAAAAGTAAAACAAAATCTTGAAGGGATAAAAGGGAAATAAGACAAGTAGGAAACAACTCTTATAAAGCATAAACACTCTGGAGGCTGAAAAATATCTTGATGTATTAATGTTTCTAACAAAAGTTCTAAGAAATGAATAGCTTAAACTGACCACAAAATACGTGTTAGAAGTAATCCCTTCATACGAAAATCTATACTCCTAAAGAAGCTAAACAGAGCTGGTTCTTTGAGAAAATCAACAAGATCGACAAACCCTTAGCCAAGCTAACTAAAAGGCAGAGAGATACCACCCAAATCAGCAAAATCAGAAATGAAAAGGAGGACATAACTACAGACACTGAGGAAATCCAAACAATCATTAGGACTTACTTCAAAAGTCTATACTCAACAAAATTTGAAATCTAAATGAAATGGACAATTTTCTTGATCGATTTGACTTACCAAAGCTGAATCAGGACCAGGTAAATCAATTAAATAGTCCTATATCCCGCAAAGAAATAGAAGCAGTCATTAAAAGTCTCCCATCCAAAAACAGCCCAGGACCAGATGGCTTCAGCGCAGAATTCTACCAGACCTTCAAAGAAGAGCTAACTCCAATTCTCTTCAAACTATTCCACAAAATAGAAACAGAAGGAACATTACCAAACTCATTCTATGAAGCCACAATCACCTTGGTACCTAAACCTCACAAAGACTCAACAAAGAAAGAGAATTTCAGGCCAATCTCCCTTATGAACACTGATGCAAAAATACTTAACAAAATACTTGCAAACCGAATACAAGAACACATCAAAGATATTATCCACTATGACCAAGTAGGTTTCATCCCAGGTATGCAGGGGTGGTTCAATATACGGAAATCTATCAATGTGATCCACCATATTAACAAACTGAAAGAAAAAAACCAAATGATAATCTCCCTAGATGCTGAAAAAGCATTTGACAAAATCCAACATCCATTCATGGTTAAAGTACTGGAGAGATCAAGGATACAAGGCACATATCTAAGCATAGTAAAGGCGATATACAGCAAGCCTATAGCCAACATCAAACTGAACGGAGAGAAACTTAAAGCAATCCCACTGAAATCAGGGACAAGACAAGGCTGCCCACTCTCTCCATATCTCTTCAACATAGTGCTGGAAGTCCTTGCTACAGCAATAAGACAGTTGAAGGAGATCAAGGAGAAACAGATTGGAAAGGAATTGCTAAAACAATCCTCTACAATAAAAGATCTTCTGGAGGTATATCCATCCCTGATCTCAAGCTGTACTATAGAGAAACAGTTATAAAAACTGCATGGTACTGGCATAGAAACAGAATGGTGGATCAATGGAATCGAACAGAAGACCCAGAAATAAACCCACACACTTACGGACACCTGATTTTTGACAAAGATGCCAAAACCATACAATGGAAAAAAGATAGCATCTTCAACAAATGGTGCTGGTCCAACTGGATGTCTACATGTAGAAAAATGAAAATAGATCCATACTTATCACCCTGCACAAAACTGAAGTCCAAGTGGATCAAAGACCTCAACATAAAAGCAGACACATTAAATCGGCTAGAAAAAAAGTGGGGAATACCCTAGAACTCATTGGTACAGGAGAAAACTTCCTGAACAGAACACCAACAGCACAGGCTCTAAGAGCAACAATCAATAAATGGGACCTCATGAAACTGAAAAGCTTCTGTAAAGCAAAGGACACCGTCATCAAAACAAAGCGACTGCCTACAGATTGGAAAAGAATCATCACCAACCCTTTATCTGACAGAGGACTCATATCCAATATATATAAAGAACTAAACAAGCTGAAAAGCAATAAACCAAGTAATCCACTTAAAAAATGGGGAACAGAGCTAAAGAGAGAATTCTCTGTAGAGGAATATCAAATGGCAGAGAAGCACTTAAAGAAATGCTCAACCTCATTAGCCATTAGGGAAATGCAAATCAAAACAACCCTGAGATTTCACCTTACACCCATCAGAATGGCCAAGATGAAAAACTCAAGGGACAACACATGCTGGAGAGGTTGTGGAGAAAGGGGAACCCTTCTCCACTGCTGGTGGGATGTAAACTGGTACAACCACTCTGGAAATCAATCTGGCGCTTTCTCAGACAACTAGGAATAGCGCTTCCTCAAAATCCAGCCATACCACTCCTAAGCATATACCCAAAAGAGGCGCAAGTACACAAAAAGGACATTTGCTCAACCATGTTTCTAGCAGCTTTATTTGTAATAGCCAGAAGCTGGAAACAACCCAGATGCCCCTCAACTGAAGAATGGATGCAGAAACTGTGGTACATCTATACAATGGTGTATTACTCAGCCATGAAAAATAAGGAAATCATGAAATTTGCAGGTAAATGGTGGGACCTGGAAAGGATCATCCTGAGTGAGTTGTTCCAGAAGAAAAAAGAGACGCATGGTATATACTCACTCATATAAACATACAACATAGAATAAACCACCCACTAAAATCTGTACATCTAAACAAACTAAGCAAAAGAGAGGACCCTAACTAAAATGTTCAATCCCCATCCTGAAAGGCAAAGAGGATGGACATCAGAAGAAAAAGAAAATAGGAAACATCCTCTGAACCTGCTACAGAGGACCTCTGAAAGCCAGAAGAAAACAGGAAACAACCTGCCACAGAGGGCCTCTGAAAGCCTCTGCAGTATAGACTGTCAAAGCAGATGCTGAGCCTGATGGCCAACTGATGGGCAGAGTGAATGGAATTTTATGTAAGAAGTGGGAAATAGTAAGAGCTGGAGGGGACGGGAACTCCACAAGGAGAGCAACAGAACAAGATAATTTGAACACAAGGAACTTCCCAGAGACTCATACTCCAACCAAGGACTATTCGTGGAGATGACCTAGGACCTCTGCACAGGTGTAGCCCATGACAGTTCAGTGTCCAAGTGGGTTACATAACAATGTGAAGAGGGACTGCCTCTGACATTATCAGATTGGCCTGCTCATTGATCACCTCCCCCTGAGGGGGGAGCAGCCTTACCAGGCCACAGAAGATGATAATGCAGCCACTCCTGATGAGATCTAATAGACTAAGATTGGAAGGAAGGAGAAGGGGACCTCCCTATCAGTGGACTTGGGGAGTGGCATGCATGCAGAAAGGGAAGGGAGGGTGGGATTGGGAGGGGAGGAGGGAGGGGCTTATGGGGGGATACAAAATGAATAAAGTGTAATTAATAAAAAATTTTTAAAAAAGAAGCTAAACAACAAAGAAGACCCTAAGGAAGATGCTCAATCCTCATTCAGAAGGACAAATGCGATAGACATTGGAAGCAGTGGATGACAGGGAACAGTACAGGAGCCTACCACAGTCAGCCTCTGAAAGACTCTATTGATGAAGGTTTCAAAGCAGAGGCTGAGACTCATAGCCAAACTTTGGGCAGAGTGCAGGGAATCTTATGAAAGAAGGGGGAGATAGAAAGACCAGAGGTGCAACTTCCAAACGGAGACCAACAGAACCTTTAAAAACTGAACCTGGGGCCCCTGCAGAGACTGATACCCCAACCAAGGACAATGCATGGAGAGGACCTAAAACCCCAGCTCAGATGTAGCCCATAGACTCAGTTTCTAATTGGGTTCCCTAATAAGGGGAGCAGGGGCTTTCTCTGGCATGAAATCAGTGACAGGATCTCTGATCACCTCCTCTTGGGGTGGGGGCTTTGGCCTTGCCAGGTCACAGAGGAAAACAATGCAACCACTCCGGATGAGACCTGAGAGACTACGGTCAAATAGAACTGGAGGAAGACCTCACTCATCAGTGGACTA